AACTTCCAGTGTTGGAGCATTTACTGCTTCTGGAGGCAGGCTGTTCCACTGATTAATTGTTCTCACTGTCAGGAAGTTTCTCCTTAGTTCTAGGTTGCTTCTCTCCTTGATTAGTTTCCACCCGTTGCTTCTTGTCCTGCCTTCAGGTGCTTTGGAAAATAGCTTAATTCCCTCTTCTTTATGGCAGCCCCTGAGATATTGGAATACTGCTATCATGTCCCCCCTTGTCCTTCTCTTCGTTAAACTAGACATACCCAATTCTAGCAACCGTTCCTTATATGTTTTAGCCTCCAGTCCCCTAATCATCTTTGTTGCTCTTCTCTGTACTCTTTCTAGAATCTCAACATCTTTTTTACATCGTGGATAAAAATAGAAGATTCTCTTGAGCCATTCAGAGATAAATTGAACTGTCCCTTGATAAGGCCCTCACTCAACACATTCAGTGAAAAGAAGCCCACCACTCCTCTTAGTGCAGGGGTCTCCAATCCCTGGGTTGTGGCCTGCTACCAGGCTGTGCGAGCAATGACAGTTTGTACTCACGGGTAAAGTTCTCCTTGTATGAGCACAAATGGAGCTGTACACACTTGCAATGCGCCCCCCTCCACTAGCAGGGAACTGTCCCCTCTCCCCCCTCCAGTGGCCCGCTAAGCCAGAAAGGTTCGAGACCGCTGTTTTAGTGCATATAAACTCTGAGGAAGGGGGAGACAAGCCCCTTATACACAGGGATCCTGTTCCTGCTTCACAATCATGGAAATTGAAAACATTCACAATAAGATCTTTTAAATAAGAAAACTTCATTCATTCATTTATTCATTAATATGCCTCGGTGGCATACAATAATATACTAAAAAAGAATAATTACAAAAACACTATAATTACAACATTAATATTATTTTTATAAAAATCCAGAAGTGCTAGGGAAGAGCATTAGATGCTACATACAATGTAGCCGCCTCATTAAATCTCCATTTCTGTGAGACCCTCAAGCCTGTGGACATAACCAAGTTTTAACAGACTCCCAGAAGGAAACTGCCATTTAGTATTCATATAAAGTAACAAAAATAAAAAATTACAAATAAGTAAAACCTTTACTGAATTTCCTGAGATCTGGTCTCTGTTTAACAAACATTGAAACATAAAACGATGGATAAAGAGATTATGGATAATGAAAGCCACTTCTGTCTTCCTCCCTCTCTTGGATATTATACATATCAGGCATATGCCTGTACTTAATCTGCGTATTTTTCTTCAGACTTTGAAGAAAGTTTAGAAGACAAGCCTCATTTTAGCTTCTTTATTTTTTGGATTCTTTTGTGCCTTGTTTCCTTTCATCTGATTATATGAAATATAGGTGCTGCCGACAGATAATTAGGATTTGTTTTATATATGCTTTGTTACTTGGGTTGCCATTTTGTAATTATTTCGTGCCTACTTTTGTACTTGTGCAATTTTTATGTTACTCTTATTGATGTCAGCAACCCAGAGTTGGTTGAAGTCAAACAGCATCAAAATTGAATGAATGAATGAGTGAAATCCAGAATATCAACCATTTACTTGTATAAAGTCTTTGTGACTATAGCCGATATCCTATCAAGGAAATGCTAACTTGTGATTGGATGCCCCATAGTTAGAAAATTTCCCCACATGCTAGCTGTGATACCTTGCCTCTAGAATCCTTTAGTCTTTTTTCTGCTAATGAAGAATTTTATCCAATTTTTTTTTCCTTTCTGTACTGTTCAGACACATTAAGGATTGAGGTTTATATATTATCACAAAACAGCAAATACTTTGACCTGGTATTATAAAGCTATGTGGAATTTGCATACACTAAGAGACTGAGATTAATTTTGTTTGCATGGAAAGACGATCAGTTTCACTGCAGGATACAGTGGTGGGTTTTTGTTTTTGTTTTACTTATTCCAGGATAAAGATGTTATTCAGTCATTATGAACCAACTTTTGAGATCATAAGAGAGTTAGAAAGAAAAGTGCACAGACAGATATTAAAAATAAAGGCAAGGGGAACAAAAAATTAATGTGTGAAGTTATAGGTTTTCTAAGAAACGGTTCAGCTTGTGACCTGCAGGTTGCATATTTCTATGACTGACATAAATCAAGCCAAACATAATGTGGAATGCCTGCTATTTTCTGTACTGAATAAAGAAGAAAGTTTAAAAGAAAAATCATATATTGATAGCACCACTCTTTTCCCCTTCACTGAATGTGTATGTATATAAAATTTCTATAGAAAATATGATAGGAAGTTTACTATATGCAATAATAAAAATCATATAATATTGTTGCTCACAGAAATAGATGTTGGCATTTTTATCCATATATTGAATCCTTCCCAAGGACCTGGGATAAGCATATGTTGTTTGATGATATTAAAGGTATCCTCACAGGAAGTAAAACTGCCTTTTGCAATGGTGATTTTGCTAGTGCTGAAGATCTTCAAATGGTACTCCAGATGTTTAAAGATTGCCTCCAAAACACCTATTACTGTTGGTACTATCTTTGCTGTCTTTTGCTTCAGTTGTTCTACTTCTATTTGCAAGTCTTTGTATTTTTTTTAACTTTCTTCAGTTCTTTCTCTTTTATTCTACTTTCCAGGTATTGCTTCATCACTATCCAGACATTTTTGTCTTTTTTATCAATAATTGTAAGTTTATATGGCAGGTGCTTGTCTGTTTGAATTCTAAAGTCCAAGAGCACAGATTCCTCCAAACAAATTGTCATATTATAGTTCAACTAGTTTAACTAGTTCTAAAAAGGAAAAGTTAGCTTGCATAGAATAATGAATGCATATCTGAAGCAAAACTGAGCTTAATTGTTTTAGAATGTACTGGCCAAAATATTCACAAACTGGCCAATACTCCTGAATTGTGAGTAGGTAATGCTACATCAGGCACAAATTCAAGCAAGACAGATTATATAGTCTATATATGTTATCTCTCTTACCAAAACACATTACGTGAAAGTCTTAATTCACCAAAGCCATGATAGGCAATGGAGATCAAAGTCTATGAGTACACTGGTGTCTATGGCATATGGAAGATTGTGACTTGAATTGTAAAAGGAATAACATTTAAACAGCTTGGAATAAAATGTGAAGTAAGAAAATAATGTTTGGTGTCTCTGAAACTAAGAGAAAAGAGAAAAGAATATGATAGATTTCAGCAGAGGTAATCTAAACTTGTGGAGTGAAGTTGATGCATTCAGTGCAGGTGTAGGTTTGCTTAATGAATGAAAAGGCTAGAATATGTGTCAGAAAATATGAATTGGTATCATATAAGTTATTGGGTGCATATGAAAACAAAAATCCTCAAATTGGGGCAGTTGCATGTTCTGCCTCTGAATAATGAGAGCAGAAGAACTAGGAATGAGCTTTAAGAAAAAATTAGTGATGTTCTGAATGAAAGAAATATGGTAGGAAAAATTATTCTGCTAGGAAACATGAATGGATGAGTAGAAATAAAATGATTAAAATGAGAGAGAACTAGAAAAAGTGGGTCATTTGGAGACTTAAGAATGAAGGACAATTGAATCTGTTGAATATCTGTCAGTAAAAGGATCTAGTTTTTGTTTGCTTGTTATATAATTTGTTCTTTAAAAATATTCAACTATGTGGAAAGAAATAAATACAAATCTAAAATCATGATTGATTTGATATTTTATGTTGAATAATTGTGATAATTAGGAGATAAAAAGATGATCACAGAGTCACAATGTTGGAAGTAACAAGATCTTGAGAAAAAAAAGACATGAAGGAAATGTGTAGAAATTAAGGTAATAAGAGTGAAAGTAAAACATCTGCATAAAAATAAAGTATAAGTCCTATATGAACAATTATTAGAAGATATAAGCATCTCTCAACATAATGAAAAGAAAGTAGATGTAAGGAACAAGCTATTTAGAACTGAGTAAAACTATTATATAGAGTGCTAGTGATGCGAGTGGAGTTTTGCTAATAGGAAGGATTAGCAAAAAAGGATGGTACAAAGTAAAAGAAGCTGCAAATAAGGAAGAATGCACATGATTCCTGCAAAAAAAAAAAATGCAGCAATATTTGTATAGATAGAAAAGATCAAAAAATATAGTCAAAGAGATCAGAAAGTTTGTAATAAAAGAAACAGAAAAAAACATGGAATGGTTTGAAAGTGAGTGAATTAGCTAAACAAGAAGCCTCCAATCCAGTGAGTGGAATAAAAAGTAAAAGTAATAAAACATTTAGGATGTAACTTAAAAAGAAAATTTTGGAAGGAGTATTTGGGAGAAGTGTGTGGGAAGGATCCGAATATATTAAGGGTGGAACAAAAATGGTGGAGCAACGTCAAAAAATGTTAAGGCTGCAACTGTAATTGAAGTAATGGGGAAAATATACATACATAATATGGTTTGTTTATGAAGTATCTGTGCAACTTGCTTAATGTGTGTGAAGACTATATTAGTGCATAATTGGAAGAATGCAATTATTGATTTATTCAAATGGAAAGTAGCAAAACATAAAGCAGAATTTGTTTGTTTAGTGTGCCAGGAAAGTCTTTCCTAGAATTCCTAGCCCCCTCCCAAAAAAATTAGGTGCAAAAATTAAACTCCCCACATCTGCTGTCCAATTTCTATCCCTTTTAAATATCTTACCTTGACTACAGGCTGAAGACTAGAGGAACAGAAGCAAACAAGGAAAGAATTTTTTGTGCAGCTTTTTTCCTTGAACTGGAGAAAAAAAAATGCATCTCCAAAAATTTAGTCAACTAGGACTTTTGCAACAAAATGGAGAGTACCAGATTTATCTGTCCATCTGATTGCTTATAGAGCCCAGCTAAGACTTAAAGGCTAGATTGTAGACTGCCTCTATATTATAGAGATCCTTTTTACAATATGCAGTTTATTGAGGTCTCAGGATTGATTGGAATAAAAATTAATCCTGGTGCTTTTGCAAAATTTTAACATTTTAATTCTATTTGGGACAATGCTTTGTTTTTGTTTTTTTCACTACAGATGGAAAGCCAGTGTCACTGTCTCCAATTGAATCCCAGCCCCACAGCCCTCATTACACAGCCACAAGTCAACGTGAAAGAGAAAGCCTGGAAGTTCGCATGCGGGAAGTGGAAGAGGAAAATCGTGCACTACGCAAGCAGCTCAGTCTGGTCCAGAGCCGGGGCATGTCCCACCGACGAGGCAATCACTCAAAAACTTACTCCATGGAGGAAGGGACTGGGGACAGTGAGAGCCTCCGGGCTGGCATTGTGGCAGGGAACAGCTCTGAATGTGGACAACAGCCAGCAGTGGAGAAGTGCGAGGTAGGCAGACGATTTCCTAGCTAAGCCATGTTTCTAAAAGCAAATTGGCTTGATGCTATTGGAATATCTCCACTAGCTTTTGAATCTTGACTGTGACTGCAGCAAAGACAAAATGAAGTACATGATAGGGACAGAATCATTTGCTCACTTTGTTTGTCATCTTCTACAAATAGGGAAAGAGAAAACATATTTAACAAAAACCACATGGGTCTCATTTAAGGTAGGCACATTTAATAGAGTCAGTATGGCTATTGACTTCATCAGAGTGGCAAAAATGTTTTTTTCTTTTTTAGATTTTTATCCCATTTTTTTTTTAATGTACAATTCAAGGAGGTAAGCATACCAATTCTCCTTCCTCCTTCTATTTTCTCCACAATAACAGCTGTGGGAGGTGAGTTGGGCTGAGAGAGACTACCCTTTCAAGTAGTCCAAACAAGAAACCGATATTACAAGTACTAAACACAAATTTGGTAAAAGTATCTCTTCTTTAAGGAAAAAAAGTTGTACTAATAAGAGATGCTATCTGTTTACTAATACCCAGTTTAGTGTTACAGAAATATAAGCTGTACAAAATCTGTAATTAATGTAACAAAACATATGTGACAGTCTGTAAATAGAGTTAACATAATAAATATGGTATTAAAGAGAATCTTGAGGTATGGAGAATATATTTTAATTGGTGCTGAAAAATATTTAAATATAATAGGAGCATAGGAATTGGATACCTAAAATCTTATGCTTAGAATACACTAAATAAAAAAAAAACATTTAAGTTCTATGGAAATTCATAGTATGTTTACAAAACTTCTATTGTTGTCTCTAAATCTCAGAAGACGTAAACATTGTAAAATAAATGGACCATGCTCTGCTGTGTGCTGGAAGAGCTTTGGACCATCAGTGTTCTTTACTCTCAGTCTATAACCTACAATGAAATGTTCACAAATGGTGGCAGAAATTAATAAAAAGCAGATTTTAAGCTGTTATATATAATCTGAATAATATGGAAGTTATTGTAATACAGTTAATGCTTGTTTCCTCCTGGTGTTTATCCCACACAATTGCACAATCTATTTTTGTTCCCATAGTTCTTATTATGAAGCTATCAATGCATAATACGAGACAGACATCTCTGTAGGATGGAGTTGAAAAAATCAAGATAGTGGCCACAACAATGCAATTAAATCTCCACTTGTTTTTTATGTATGTTAACATTTTGTACCCATTTGTTGCCCACCTTTATGGCCAACATCTTGACCTTTTTTTAACCATATTTGGAAGACATCCCTGCAACAAGTTCTTCGTTTAACAGTTGACTTGTCCCAGAGCCTGACCTTGATTAGGACTGAAAAGGGAATGACTCACCTGGCTTCTAGTCCAACACTTTAACCATTATTCAATCTTAGCCCTCTTTATTATAGCAATAATAAAATATCAATTATACTCTTCTTTACCTTCTCTATACAGGTAGTCCTCAACTTACAGCAGTTCATTTAGTGACCATTCAAAGTTACAACAACATTGAAAAAAGTGACCTATGACAGTTTTTCACCCTTATGACCATTGCAGCATCCCCATAGTCACATGATCAAAGTTCAGATGTTTAGTGACTGATTCATAGTTATGATGATCGCAGTATCCCAGGGTTATGTGATCACCTTTTGTAACATTCTGACAAGCAAAGTCAATGTGGAAACCAGATTCACTTAACAGTCATGTTGGTAGCGCAGTGGTTAGAATGCAGTATTACAGGCTAATTCTGCTGACGGCCAACAGTCAGCAGTTTGGCAGTTCAAGTCTCACTGGCTCAAAGTTGACTCAGTCTTCCATCCTTCTGAGGTCAGTAAAATGAGGAGCCAGGTTGTTGGGGGCAATATCCTGACTCTGTAAACCACTTAGAGGGGGCTATAAAGCCCTATGGAGTGGTATGTAAGTCTAAGTGTTATTGCTGTTAACAATTGCAGTAACAACTGTGGCAATAAAGGTCATAAAATGGGGCAAAACTCACTTAACAAATGGCTCATTTATCAACAGAAATTTTGGGCTCAGTTGTGGTCATAAGTCACATTTCATTTTTATACTGTAACTTAGATATATTCAATAGTCTTATAGAGTAAGCAAAGGATAACTCAATAAACAGAAGTATAAATAAGCTTTGGAATTAGCCCTAGGCAGCTACTGGAAAATACGTTGTGTAATTTTGCAATGGGCATAGTAGAATTCCCCCTCACAAAGAATAAGGAAACAATTCCAAACACTCAGCTGAACTCTGCAACAGAAACAAATTGTCTTAATAGTTTCAGATCTGTATCCCCCAGCTTCTAGAGCGCTTTTAGCTTTTTTTTAAAAAAAAAAAAAATCCTGTCCCACTCTCTTTGCTGTAACCCTGAATGATGCAGCTCTATGTATACTTGTCTGGGAATTACCGTAGTTTCACTGAACACAGCAGCACTGATTTCCAGTAGGATTATACTACAAGAGTTTGCTGAGTCACATTTGTCAAGAGAATAGTTTTAAAAACCAAGTGCTCATTATTTATCCTTCTGAATTAAAAAATAAAACCATCTTTATTCACAGCAATTCAAGTCTTCCTGCATTGATGAAGGTGGATCCTTCATTGCACTGGCTGTATGAAAGAGATAGATTGGGCGCAAGTATAGAATAGCTAGGTCTGTGTCAGAAATTCAGAAGCTCAGGAATTCAGCAAATCAGCAGGACAGGAATTTCTGCCTTTTTCTGGATGTGGGGGAGGGTTGTATGTTGTAACAAACTTAGCATTACATTTCTTGCAGAACATCTTTAAATAACCTAAAGGTTGTTTTCTTTTTTCCTATTATGACCTGTGTTGGCTTAGAATGCACATTATTTTCTCTGCACTTTTTTTGCGGATTTGACTTTTAGTCTGTTAGCAAACTCCCATGTTTTCTTTTGTTTGAGATGAAATATATTGGATTGAATTACTATTGTTATTATTATTGATTAAACTTAAATACTACGTGACTAGGTGGCTCAGGACCCAAAGATTCAAGGGAGTACAAGCAATTTTGGACAAGGGAATGAATGACTGTTAAAAAGTTGTATAGATAAAATGGCCTTTGAAATTCTAATATCTTTTACCAATAAATTACTCACCGTAGATTAGTGTTATGCTGTAGGCAATAGTTCTGTACAAAAGGAAACTTCCTGATGCTTGCCACACAACCCTTTCTTAATTATTTTCAGTAGTGAAATGGTTCTCACTTTGTCCTTTCATGAGATTCCCAGTAATTCAGTAGCCGATTGGAAACTTAATAGAAACCTCCCTATCATCAGAATTGCCTCCAGGGTTTTTTCATCACTTATCCTATTACTAAAAATGCCAGTTATGTGTTTATATGAGAGACTCATGTTCATTTTCCCTGTCAAGGATCTATTTCCTATAATCAGCAATTATTTGAGCTGAATTGTTTTATATATATATTGCAGTTCAAGTGACAGCTGTGTAGAGTAGACAACTTTAAAATAAGTCACTATTACACTACTAATTTTGAAAAATATTTCTTCTGGCCTATTCCTTGACCACCTTACATAATAATTCAGTTAAAAAACAAGAGAAGCTACAGATAGTCCTTGACTTACAGCAGTTCATTTAGTGACTGTTCAAAGTTATAACATCACTGAAAAAAGTGACTTATGACTGTTTTTCACACTTACAATCGTTGCAGCATCCCTGTGGTCATGGGATCAAAATTCAGATGCTTGACAATTGACCCATATTTATGACAGTTGCAGTGTACCGGGAAGAAGTGATCACCTTTTGCGACCTTCTGACAACCGAAGTCAATGGGGAAGTCAGATTCACTTAACAACTGTGTTACTAACTTAACAACTGTGGCAAGAAAGGTCATAAAATGGAGTAAAATTCACTTAACAACTGTCTCACTTAGCAAAATAAAGTTTGGGTTCAATTCTGGTCGTAAGTCAAGGACTACCTACATTTGACCGAATTTTATAATTTTCAATGCAGCATTTTAATGATCATGTTTTCTCCATTCATATACAGTATCTACCTTAACAATGATCTTTATGGATAAATTACTGTGATTCCAATTTTCTGTTTGTGAAATTATCTAAGAAGACAACTTGTTAAAGGCATTAAAAGGTTAAATATTAAAAAACATCAGTGGTGGATTCAAGTAGGGAAGAAGCAAGATTTTAAATAATGAACAAGTGCTGAAAGAGTTTTTTGAGACTGAAGAGACTGAATTAGTTCTTTGCACTGACTGTTATTATAGAAGATGTTGGAAAGAAGTTCATATGGGATGTATTTATTTTAAAGCAGGGAAACTGAAGTGTTACATCAAAGATAAGGAATAAATCTTTTAGCAATTCACTGCTAGGATATACAAAGATAGAAGATACTGTTCTGTTTGGGGCTTCCCTGCAGGATTCCATCAGGTGATAGGAAGTTAGACAAGATGGATCTTAATATCTTTTTGTCAATGAATGAAGATATTTATTCTTACTAAATTAATTATTACATTACTTGATATTCTCAAAACCACACCCTGGGATCTGACCCAGTGGTATCTGCTCTTTTAGTGGCTCCAGCGTAAAGTAATTAACATTAGAAAGAGACATTCCCATTCTTTGGTAAAATTATTTTCTTCCATATTTAAATAAGAAATGGTAAAATAATCTAAAGGAAAGCTAATCTGAAAGATTTCAGGAGGAATATGCTGGCTAGTTCAGACCTTTGAAGAAATTTTTCTTTACCTTGCCATTTTTGTCTTCTATATCTCTCTTTTATAATGATTTATTGAGAAATAAGGCATTGCATGTTCAAGGGGATACAGGTAATACACTGGAACTGCAAATTTAATAGCTAGGTGCAAGAAAAGATACCAATTTATTCAATAATTATGTCAAATTTTTAAAAGATTATATTGCCATAAGTTTGGTTAGAAACCTTCCTACATGTTCACACTTTATTTGCAAAGTAGCAGCATAAACACACAAGGAAGAATTGGTTTTGAGGAGGATTACTTTGAATAAAAAAACACTCTGTCCACATAATTGAGGTTTTGAAATTGAGAGCTATTTATTTTTTATTATGAGATCAGAAAGTACCAGGTTCAAGTCCTCCATTGAATGCTGAAGCTTGGGTTAGTCACAATGTCTCAGCAATTGATCTGCCTTCTGTGAAGTTAAAATAAATGATAGTCTCTTTGAATGTTGCCTTTAGCTTTTAATGGTAAATTGAGCTTTAAATGAAGAAAATCACCACAACAAGATATGGAAGATCATATTGCTGTATAACAAGACTATGGTCCTAAATGAGATATGCTAATGAAAAATTTATTGGGATTCTTCCATGGAGATTGAGAAGAAGCAGGAAGTGCAGGGTCTTGGGTTATGAGCAGATTTTAGGTTGAACAATATTCTTGCAGCAGCCAGTAATTCTGTCTTGGTTCTGCTCACAATCACTTTGCCAGGGATGCCCATTTTCTCATGAAATCTTGCATATGGTTTATTTTTCCCCCAGAACTAGTATCACCAGCTCTTCTGTGCTGACCAATTCCCTAAACACTTGCATAAAATGGCACTATACATATGCAGGATTATGGTATTTGGTTTTTCCAAAAGAGTTATTTTTTTTCATTCACGCTGGGTGGCACGATTAAAAACAGGTACAGTTTCAATTGCACTATAACGGCTATCCTCTTGATTTTTTTTTTTTTTTTTTTACTATGCCTTGTGGACACCTCTGTCTCCTTTGAAATGGAGATGATTTAACTTGTTTCTATCTAAGCTAGTACCAAAATATAACGAATATTTTCTGCATAGTATAAAAAATAGCATAAGACTTAAAATTTTAGGGAAATTATGTCAGTGGTACTTCACATATTTTAAAATATCAGGAAGAGTTAAACATCAAAAGCCTCAAACTGACTAGACTGCACTGATTTTGCTAGATTGTGATGATCTTTCTTCTCCTTGCTTTCATTGTTTGTTTCTCTGTCTTTTTAGACAATCCACGTCGCCATTGTATGCGCTGGATACAATGCCAGTCGGGATGTCGTCACTCTCGTCAAATCAGTCTTGTTTCATAGGTAAAGCCTCTTTATCTTGCTTCATGCTTTTTTTGTAGAAATGATACAATGTGCCTTTGATTCTTCATAGTAGAAATGATGGTCAGTGTACCAGAATCTAGCTAGATAGCTTGCTTCTTTTAAAACATTTAAAACTACATAGTATGTAAAATATATTTCTTACCAAATTATGTTGCTTTGTACTGGCTCCTCTAAATTTCTGTCAACATGCACAGAATTTAATAATGATGCACTCATCCAACCATTAAAAAATGTGACTAATGGTTATGAAAACTTTGCTTTTAGAAAGTAATCTCCTCATTCCTTAAGCTTCTCTGCTTCCAACCTATTCCTAACTTGTCACTATTTTAAATTTCTTCCTGGGTTTTTTAAAAGACTATGATTTTATCAGAAATGTGCCCAAGTTTTTCTTTAGGTTTATTTTTAATGAGTTAAAAGCATGGATTTGAAGTGGGAGAACTGTGGAAACCAGCACAGCTAAGTGATAATATCTAGAGAGTTTTTACTGATCTCAAACATTCAGGGTTGAACTGTGTAGTCCTTGGTGCTCTCTGAGTTTGGTTGCTTGCATGTGGATGTTTCATTACCTGACTATACAGGACCTTGCTCTACCAGTGCTGGTGGAGATGTGGTTTTCCCCCCTTGGTAATGCCTTCATTAAGTTAGTGAATGCTGGCTGCAAATCTTTGTCAAAAAGATTTCAAAAAGCTTAGCAGGTTAGTTCTTAGATGAGTTAGATAGCAAAGGAAAAAAAAAATCTCACAGAAAAGGGAAGCAGAAATTACTTTTGTTCATTCCATAGGCTCAGATTTTCCACACTGAATTAAAACTGTAGTTACAATTTTAAATTACAAGTTAAATTTATAAATTAAACATTTTTGAATCAAAATAAAATAAAATCCAGTACCTATTTATGCGGACTTTTTCCTACTCAAACTAAATTTGATTTGATTTTGTTTTGTTTTACCTTAAATTGCAAAACATTTTTAAAGGGTTCTTTTTTTAACTAAAATCTAATCCTTCAATCTCTAAAGTACAGTACAGATCATTGATTTCCATTATCTGGGAGTAGTTATTTTACCATCAGCACTTGTCTTGGAAATAATTAAGGTTACAGGGAAGGAAGGAAAGGAAGGAAGGAAGGAAGGAAGGAAGGAAGGAAGGAAGGAAGGAAGGAAGGAAGGAAGGAAGGAAGGAAGGAAGGAAGGACATTCTGTGCACCAAAGGGTTGTCAGATGCAAATCATGAATTAAACATTCTGGTAGATCTTCCACAAACAATTAAATTAGTGTTGCCCTCAAAAATGATTGTTTGGAGGTTGACTGAAGTATAATTTTATTGTAATGCTATTGTAGAAATTGGCTCAGAGAGGTCTCATCCTCCTCTTTGAGTAGGGCAGTCACAAAACTTCCACATAATTCAGTTATGTATCAGGCTAAAGAAAGAAGAAGAGGTAAATAACTTTTATTTTAAAGTGACTAGACTGACTTGGTCTTTACAATCAGAGTGAGGAAAAATAGTGAAAGCTCTGCTCTTTAACTCTTAGATGTTGTCATGATTCATGAACATCAAAGAGCTTACTAACATGTGAAATATTTCAAAAGGAAAATGTAGGTATTTTCAGATTAACAGCATTCTTTCTGCTTTTTCTGATTTGTCTGATTTTAAACATTTCATTAATCTTTCTGATTAATAGTCCCAATACAGTGATGAAGATAAATGAAAAGAAAATAATTTATAAGCAATAGATTTAAAGAAAAAATATATTCCCCCTTTTTCTTTCAATATGATGCTTTCTGTTTGTTCGTTTGTGCTATACCAGGGGTTCCCAACTGGAGGTGCGAGATGATATTCCAGGGGGTTCGAAAACTTGGGTTTTCAAAATTATAATGTATATGCATAATTTGTTGCCATTATTTCGAACTTTTGTAAGGGGTGTGAGAATATATCAGAAGCATTCTAGGGGTGCGGGATATAGAAATGGTTGGGAGCCGCTGTGCTATATATTTAGGTACTGAGCATATCATGGTTTGTTGAAAAATCTCCATACATATTATATTTAGAGCTGTCAAGTTTTTCTAAAACACTTTTATTAGAGTTTTTATTAAATAGCATTATCAAAAAATATTTAACTGAAAGAAATATCCTTGCGAGTTTAAGAACTCATTTTTAATTAAAGTCTTTTTAAAACTGATCCATGTGACTGAGTCTTTACAAAGAAGACTCTGTGACTACTTTGCCATTTGAACCTAGAATGTGGTTGCTCCTACCATAGAGTAACTGTGCATATACAATATACACAACATATATTTTCATTTAGTAAGGACACTCAATCTCTAAATGGTCTTTTAAAACATAGTATGAAATTATATTAAATATTATAGTCCTTGATTTATGATAATTGTTATGAATGAAGAGAAGATACATCATACATGTCTGAACTTGCTTTAGAAGGCTACCTTTATTTTGAAAGAAAATCTGCCTTTTGAGTATCAAAACCTGGCTAATGTCTTTGAAACAGAATTTCTTCCTGTTTGTCTAAAGCCTGCATTGGTTGATCTTAAAGCTACATTGCAGATTGAATTACTATTCTTAGAACGTTATAGTTGTGTTATATTATAAGTGAAGATCAGTCCTAGCCAGGGTCAGTTCTAAGAAAAAAGTATAGTATTTCAGTATATCAGCATCTAATAGGAAGGGTAGTGTTCTGAGTTCATAGTGATGGTAGCAGATGAGACAATTCCTATGTACAGTTTTTATTGAAAAGATTCACAACAATAAAGTTATTAACTTTATTGGTTTGTACTCTCTTCATAATAATGAGTCAGTCGTATCTGACTCTTGGCGATTCTATGGGCCAGGTCTCAATATCTTCCAATTTTGTTGAGTTTTTCTATGCTTTGCTAGTGTCAGCTTTGATACTCTCCAGCCACCATGTTCTTTCTGGTTCTCTTTTACTGCTAACTCTTCTAAATATAATTGCTTTCTCCAGTGAATTCCCTTGCATGATATGGCCAAAGGAAATGAGACAGTTTCTTGATTTTGCCTTCTGGTGACATGTCTGGTGTTATGCGTTCCAGTACTTGCTTGTTAGTCAACTTTGCTGTCCAAGGACTACTCATGAGACTTTTCCCTTCACCACCGCTCAATCAATCGATTTTCTTCCTGTCTTCCTTTTTCAAGGTTCAACTTTCACAACCATAGGTAACCACAGGAAACACAATAGAGTGAACTAACCTATGTTTAGTTTTGCCAGGCTCATTTCCTTGCTTTTCTATATCTGGCTCATGTTCATCATTGCTGTGCGACCCAGTGCAACCTGATGTTTTATTTCTGTGTGCATTCACCACTTTGAGCTCTCTATGGTCCTGGGAAAGTGGATTTTCCCACAGGTTCTGTCTCTTCACTGTCAATTTCTATTTTGATGTTTCCCTTCCGTGCAGTGGTCATGAGCTTTTTGATGTTCAGAAAGAGACCAAAATTCTTACTTTCTTCTTGGATTTTCTTTATCAAATGTTCCACCCTATCTGACATGTTTGAGACCCTTTCTGTAGAATTTTCTTAATGAGTTTTTTGCGGAGTAGGTTGCCAGGTCTTTCTCCAACCCGGTAACTCACTTTTTGACAGCTGCCCAGGGACAACAACTGCTGCAGGCTGGTTACTCTGGGCAACAACCGATCTGGTATGGAATTCTTTTTCTGTTGCCTCATCACGGTTAATGGGTTTGTGGATGCTCTTAGTCTAGCTGCTTAATTGAGACCTGTCTGGCTTGGGTATACTTTCAGGTGATATACATCCAGAATAATGCTTAACCGAATACACACACACACACACACACACACACGGTGACAAGGGGTTATCTACATGGAGGAGTTCTGTTAGAGAATTTTAAATTTCTCTATTGGTGAAAAAATAAATCAGAAGCTCTCACAGTTGACTGCATTTAGCTGATTCGAATAACTTTATATTTATATAAAAATATTTACAATACTTCTTTACAGCAACATAGCTTAATGAAGGCTTCTTACAGAGAGAGACCAGAGACAAAACTTTAGACTGGAAATCCAGCTCCTAACTCAATACTCTTTTTTTTGCACAGACTCAGTAGCACTTTCTTCCCATTGGCTGACTTACCACATGACTCTTCCTGTTCATGAATATTCCAACAAGTTCATAATAATACATGCTGAGATCGAGATTTTACAAAAGATAAAGTAGGGAAAGGAAGATAGGTATTTATGTCAACAGTAACCTTCCTTCTATTTTTAAAGTCTTAATTATTTTTAAAGTTAAGGTCTTAACTTTAAAGCTTAATTCTGAACTGTTTCACTTAAAATCCACATTTTCAAGCTTTTATTCAAGCTTTACTCTCATAGATACCCATTTAACTTTACAGACTGTCATTTATTTGTTTATTTTGTTATTTATCTGGCAGCTATATACTGTCAAAACAACAAAAATTGCCAAGAAATACTGTATTGGGAATTCTTGGTCTTTTAATGGAAAGTGATCCTGATAAGGCAAAGTGACACATTTTCCGCAGGACTTGCCAGACGTTCTGCACAGCAAAGCAACTTGGTCACTTTGGTTCACCATTAGAAAAGTGATGTCCAAGTTATTTTATGAATTGGCTCCAAAGGAATGCTTTGTTTGAGTCTTAGAGCTTTGACAGATTTATTTTATTCTTGCTACTATTTGGCTTGTGGTTATATTGCTTTTAGAAAGTATACATTACTTTTCCACTAAGTAGATGTGCTTTAGGTAATTTCATAGATTAAAAAAAAATCTTAATTCTTTTTAGCAATACTCATATGTTAATGTAAGTAATCCGAAGAATAGGAGAATATTGCACAAAGCTCTGGGTTTTCTTCACATTATTTTGCCCTGCAAAAACAGGAGACCCATGAAATTCTCTCCAGGCTTTCACAGGAATGAGCATGAGGCCACTCAAAAAATGCATTTGGTTCTTTTTGAGCCCTCTTGCAAATTTCTGGAAAATA